GGTTTGTTTTGGCAAAGAACCTTCGGGTGTTTGTTCTGGATCAATAATTGTGGATATTTGGAAGACTCTTAGCCCAGTGACAGCTGATGGCAAAACTTGTGTTTTGCAACGTACCTGCTAGAGATCAGTATTTTAACTTGTATTTGCCCTCTGAAGAGGTCAGGTTAGAACTGGTGCTCCAGAACACCAATACCATCAATACAGACTTTAAATTTTTTTTTCTATTTCTCTATGTGTTAAACTTGGAATGGTCCAGTTTTCTGTATTTCTCAACTAGAGTTGAATTAACCTATTCCTAGCAGAGCAAACCCAGGGGTACTGGAACCTGTGCAGCTTTTTACTATTGTTCCCCCAAAAAACAGGTGGGACCTGACCTGTTGGCCAGTAACAATAGTTAGCTGGAATAAGTGGGCAGCCTAGTTCTTCATCATGGCAGAAAGTAAAGAAATAAACACCTGACAAATTAGTCAGTGTTAGACCACTCAGGGTCCTCCCTGCAAGGGTAAACTGCCTTTTTTTCCCCTTTTTATTTCATTTTTTTTCAAAGAAGTTTTTCTACTAGTAGCATGAAAACATCCAGCAAATATTCCCCACGACATTTTTATTTACAGTGTGGAGCCTCGGCCTCTGCAGTGGTGAGCACAGAAATACTTCACATGCTTCAATTTTAACTGGGTGGGAAGTTGTGAGGTGGATCTCAAACTCTATGTAGATGTGATTATGAGCCATTGGTCAGGTGTACGTGGTTTTCAGTGGCACACAGAGAATTTAACTTGCTTTACAAACTGGAAACAGCTGCAAAAGGTTGGTTGGGGGAGTGGGCAACAACAGCAACAAACCCAGACACCACATGTTAGATTAGAGCCTGTGAATCTGAACCTGGAGGAAGAGGGCAGTTCTCTGCAAGAAGAGAACTTCTTTAGCACTTCTTATGAGTTGTTTAGGTGGGTAACAAAGGGTTCTGAGTGTTCTGAGTACCTGAGGAGTCTGGCTTGGTGTGTGCTTCCATCACACAGCAACTGTGCTACAGCTTGGAATGAATTGGTGTGAGAATAAACTGGGAGGTGAGCCCAGCTCCTCTGAGTCCAGTCAAAAGGGTTAATAAAGCTTGGCCATTACTGGACTTGTGAGGGCTGAAAAGCTTTAATGTGGAAGTTATGAGATAGCAGATGGGGCTGCAGGTGGATGATGATGATAAAATACAGAGAACTGGGCATGTTGTTGAATGCTGTGTTTCTAGGTGTTTGAGCCTGTATCAACCAGGTTTGTAAGATCAGAAATTAAGCAGCTATTTAGCCAGGTGTCTACACTGTAACTGAACAGCTGGGGGGGGACCCTTGAATTATGTAAAATTATTATGTTTTTGTCTCCTTCTGTCATACTTGTGCAAATGCAGAATATATAAGATTGACACTTTTCTAGTTCTTGACAAACTTATTGTTTTGCCAACATTTCCCAATTGACAATGTAGGAGTTAAAGTTTGGATGATGAATAGAGACATTATATGACTTAAAATCTCGGGCTGAGTAATGCTGAATGATAGGTAAGGTCGTTTCCTGAATGTTCTTTTCCTCCTTAAATGAGAAAAAAAAAAAAAGTAGTTTATAAGTTCTATAATAGAAGCAAGTATCCTGATGATTAAAACAGATACTGGGTAGCTTTAATTTCCTGAGCATGAACATTGCTATCTTACCTTGCCAGCAGGCTCATCTCTCATTTCAGGATATGAAAGTGTAAGCAGTGAGGCTGTTGTAAAGCTGATGAAATTACACAGCTAAAGATAAAGCCCCTCAGTAAGTGGCCAGGCTCTGTCACTGTCAGCTGGGGAGACGTTTATCAGTCAGTTTGTGCTGGGTGTTTTTATGGCAGCCCAATGTACACACACATCCTACTGTTCCAGGATAGCAGGCACTGGGTATGTTTGTGCTTTCACCTTCACTGCGTTTAATCTCATCTCCTCTCATGTTAATGAAGATGAGACTCTTCGCGTGCTCTGTTTGTCCCAGCTTTGAAGAGCTCGTGTCTGAGTCATTACAGTGGTACACAGTATAAAGTTGGAGCTTTTAAAAGCTTTAGGTCTCTGATGGATATTCTAACCTGTCACAGGTGATGGATGTTGGAGAAAATGAATTTTCTTTCCTCTATTCCATCTTCACAGTGGTTGACACCTTTTTCCTTCTGGTGGAGCAGTAAGGGAGAGGGGTTTTTTCTAGAAAATGAAATTTTTGGCCAAAGTGCAGAACATTTCCAGACTTGATATTGTTGGGGTTCTCAGTGCTTTGGACAAAATGATTTGCTTGTTGCTTTGCCAGAAGTGCTTCTCTGCAAATACAGAAGGACTCTTGGCACCCAAGGCAGAGAGCTTTTCTAGGGAGATGCAGTTTGGGCATCAGTCCTTACTGAAACTACTTTGTTAGGATTGTCAGAGCTGGTCATTCATTTCCATGGAGTCCCCAGATTCTGGCTGGGTGGTGAGAGGACTGACAGCTCCTCACAGACTTTGTGTGAGTGATATCTCTGGGTGGTGGGCAGGAGAATGAGCAGAAAGGTCCAGAGGAGTAAGAGACAGTTGCAGCTGGTTGAGTCTGAGTGCCTTTGGTGTCTTCTGCTCCTTGAGGTCCTGAGCCCAGGACACTGGCGCTGGTGATGTGTCTGTAGCTTTAGTAGGCTGTTTGGCAGTCCTTACTTATTTTCTTCCCTAATTACAAAAAATAACTGCAATTAAAACCATATGGTTCTTCCCCTTTAGTGCCTTGATGGGAACATTTTCATAAACCTCGCTGATGGACGAGAGTGGGAAAGAACTTGGGTGTTTGCTGCTGCTCTTTTTTCAACTGCCAAGTTCAGGGGGAAATCACTTTCAAGGAGGAAAGGTTCACTGAATGCAAATACTTCCTTATACAGAGCAGAGTTTTGTTGTTTTTCTGACAGACTGGCCTCTTGCTTTTCAATATAAAATTTAAGATAACCACATCTTTTGGTGTCAGTCATTTGACTTTTCCATTCCCAGCAAGGTCCAGTGCAAAGGACATCCTGAAGTAAACTTCCTAGCAAATGTTTA